GGGGGGGGGGGGGGGGGGGAGGAGTCTCACTTGTTGAATTATATCAATAAAGACCTCCTGGGGGAGTTACACTTGGGAGCACACGCTCCTCATGTGATATACTCAGGCAGATTCGCTCCCACCGGCCACCTGATAAGCAAATATTTTCCTAAGGGAAAATCAGGGCTCCTAGAGAACATTAATCAGCTGCCCTTGGAATGGGGGTGACAATAGGCCATTGAGAAGCACATACACCGACTGAGCGACACAGCTGGACTGTGACCAGCCATTCTCCTTTGTACACAAAAGACCTGCAATAAGTCATAATTCCATCCCCTAATGCCTTCACCCCCATCCCCAATCAATCCATGAGGCTTACATGCAAGGTTACCTTATACAGAAAGTTCCCACAAGTGCAGAAAAATGGTTTGAAAGGCAGCAACACAACCTACATACACTTTATTTCCTGTTACATTCGCTACCTATTTTGGTTTGCTGCATGTTTCCAGTGAGCATCTATTTCAAAGCATTACTCTAGTGTATTAAGCATGGGGTAGCACCCACTAGTAACACCTATAATACCTTCCGGTGATAATAGAGGTAGAGGGGATAAGCCACATGGTCTTAATTATGGATTGGTGAAACACACAAAGACAATTTCCACCCTATTGAGATGTGGTGGGTGAGGAAAGGATGGAGACGAATGCCTCATCCAGACTGAAATACACCAGAAAGTCCTAATTTGGCTGGTAAAAGGGAAGGCTAGTCTGAGAAACTGAGGTAGGTTGGTGAAGACCAAGGAAACGGCAAGCCCTTGTTGAAGAAAATCTAAGTTTAGATGGATGTATACAATGTATTTTTAATCAGTATGCTAAAGCATTCTGGACTTCTCTTCTAGAAATGCTTTTTCTGTTCCTAAATGGGACCCTGGCTTTCTCTTGTGCTCCCCTTTAGAATTCCTCAGATGCCTCTTTTTTGACACAAATTTTCTTTTGCTCAGACTATCCACTATGCAAATTTTCTTTTGCTCAGACTATCCACTGTGCCATTTTCCTTTAGCTTCCCTTTCATAAGGTGATTTATTCCAAAATGTGATGTCCCATCTGACTATGAACTGGGACTGTGGATTAGCATGAAATAATTCATGCTGCCTAGCCAATCTCCAGAGATTTTTGAGCTGGAACTTGTGTATCTACATTTTCTCTCAAGTTACATTCCTGTTTTTTTTTCCTGTCACCCTTCATATGTGAACTCCAATGGACTGGGAGTTTAAGGTGGTGATGTTGACAGAAATCACCTCTTTGCACAACTAAAAAATAGCCAGTTTCAGATTGTTGGGACATTTTTTCTGTCCTTGTAGAACCTACAAGGGATATTGAAGATCAACATCTGATTGGAATATTGTATCCTTATTGGGAATTAAGGAGCCTTCTAAGAGGCAGTTGAAAGAAAATGTTTGTTGACCTCCCTCTTTCTCTTCACACACATATAAATAAATAAACCTGAGAATGAATGTGCAAAAGTCAAATGGCTGGTGCTTCTGGAGTGTTGAAGTGAGTCTAGTAAGGATGTCTGCCCAACAGATTAAGAATCCAGGAATGTTGGCCATCCTAAGCCCTGGAATTAAAGTAGCCGGGGTGGTGGTGGTGGTATTTGAACAATTGAACAAAGAGGCTGAAAAGGAGAGGTGCGTGTACACAGCACAAGTGCTTGTACTTCAACACAAGTGCCCTCTAGGAGTGGGGAAGTGTTTACCTGTTTACTTTTACAGGTAGCTCAAACATTGGGCAGTTGCCTCTTCACAGATTTTGCAGACTTCTTCCCCACATCTCACGCTTTAAGGAAGGGCTCAGCTTCCAAAATGTGGGCCTAACCCCCGCCCAGGTCTCTATTTAAAAGAATGTATAGGGGATAAGAGCAAAGAAAGAGACCTCTTAGCTGCTACACTCACGTAAATTGTTGGGGCACTTCTACCATGAAAGGCTATAGTAAAGTAAGGGTTTGCTGGAGGTAACACTACTATACCCAGCCCCAGGAGAACCAGAGGAGCTTAGCAGTCCTTGACTGTTAATTCTCAAGCAAGATTTGAAAACTGGCAGGTCTGATTGTGCTGAGCATTTAAAACTACAGAAATTGTAAAGACAAGAATGTATAATGTACCATTCTTAAAAGAAATTATTTTGTGGGTTAGTTCTGAAAGAATATGGTAGTTTCTGTGCACATCCATGCATGATTTATAGTGACAGCAATGTGCTGCTATTTAGTATATGTTTGTGCAATTACTACAATAAAATATCAGGCAATATTACTTTGCACTCTGATAAGCACACACTGCAAGATGTGAAAGAAAGATGCAGCGGCTAGTTTAAGTTCCCATTTGGCCCTGATGCTAGACAGCCAACTTCATTGTCTTTTTCCTCTTCTTTCTTTATCTGCTACTGGACAGATGCACTCCAGGTCATTAAAAAAGACAAGGTCCCCCTTTTCATTTTGAAGCAATACATTGCTGAATATCATTTTCTGGTGTTTGAGAAACTGAGGAAAAAAGAGTTTATCAGGAGTTTCTCCTTCTTTTGAGAGATGGAGGGAGGGAAAGAAGATGCTATATAGTGAGTATATAAGGTTGATCTTTCACCCACCACAACATCCCATCTCAGATAATAGCCTTCAAGTGGATTAGTTTATTGTTTGATTAGAGCAAAGGTGCAAGTAAATTGTTTTCATTCATCCATCTACAAAAACACATTGCACCTTTAGCGCTCCTAGTGAGGATTAGCTGAAAGAAGATACAAAGCCTTAGTGTGCGGACGGCATGTTTTATCTCAGGTTTTATAATCTCAGGATAGTATACTTGAAATCAATAAGAACAGATAACACACACACATACAAATCTGCTTCAAATAATTATAAGAAAGACATAGCAAAAACCACACCTAGAACAATGAGGGCAAATCCAGTCTGCCTTTGTTCTAATGCTGGGAGGTAACAATGCTTAATCACCAAAGGATGCTCTCTCTTCTAGCTTCGAATAACAGGTTATCTGAAAAGACTAGATTTATAGCACAACCCTATACATATCTACAAACATATAAGGCCCAATGACTTCAGCAGGACCAGCAGCCACAAACTGTAATTGTGTACAGAATTTTAATCTTAAAATTGATATGAGCTTATTGTGACTATCATTGCTTAATTAAACCCACATAGCCTTCACCCTTCCCAACATTTCAACAGTGATCTCGATCTCTTGATACAAAACCAATCCTTCTACTTTTATTTGACAGAAAGTAAAGTAATAGCAATAAAGCTGGACTCCCCCCCCCCCTTCCCTCCCCAACAAAATGCAGTTCTGGAAAAACAAATGCAGATCAAAACTCTTGGAGAATCTTCTCTGCCTGAAAACAGATATCCACTAAACTATCTCTAATACTTATTTAACTCTGTGGTAGCTGTGCTGTAGTAGAGAGGAACTGTAGGAACAGAGATAAATACCTCCACAATGACAAAAAGCAGAGAAAGCATGAGAAATCAGCCACTGTCAGGTCGCGATCTCTCTCTTCCACCTCCGACTTTCAGCCTTCTCAAGAAGCAATTGGTAGAAAAATTAAGTCCTGTTCATCATCTCTATATCTAAATGAGTTTTTTATTATAATGATTATTATTAATTTTCCCCCTCTAGCACTGGCTTTGATAACAAGCTTTTTCTAATTCTTTTGGAAAATCTCCTGAGGTTATAAATTGTAATAGACATCGCGGTTTTCTTTCTGCAGGCTAATCGGTTATTTACGGGCTGTGCCAAAGCCAGAGGGCATGTGTTAAGTCTTTGATAAAACAACGTTTATGAGATTTTCTCAAATATACTAATGCAACATTATGAAATGCAATAAGCTGTTCTTTCAACTAACTTAAACAAAAATAAAAACAAAGGAAACTCTTGACATTACCATATAGCGCCAAGTAGATTGTAGAATTTAGAGCTGCCTTTCAGCTGTAAGTATTATTTTCTGCAAAAGTAGGATCTAACCTCCGGTTATCCTTTTGGTTCCAATCTATTATGGCCATTTAATATGTAAGACTAAAAGCTTCCTTCCCTCCAGCCAATTCTTCAGCTTTATTCGTTTGCTTCCCTCCAATGATTAAACGTGCGTCAATGGGATTAAACATTGTCAGCTTCCCTTCAGAACTGTTCTCCTGTCCAAAGAAAGGACCCTTTGCCTCGCTTTTTTGCTTTTAATTCAGACAATTTGACCAAGAGATTTATCTTTCTTCATACAGCACTTGGTTATCCAAATTAACTTCATGCACACAAACGCGCGGTGGGTATCATTAACACATATTTCAAGTGATTTATAAGATCAAAATGCATTTTAGATACTTCAAGCAAATTTCTTGAGTACGCTGAATGTTTTTTTAAAATGAAAATAATGATCCTACCAAAGAAGCTGAGTCACAACTTTCTGACACTGAAAGGCATTCTCCAAGAGCAGAAGTGAACGAAATGAAAGGCGACCTTCTGGTTTTTTTCCCCCCAGTAATATAAGGAAAAAATCAAATTGCAAGAGAAATTTGCCCAATTGATTCGAACAGACTGATTCTGAATTATTTCTGATCCTATGGCGAACTCTGCCGACTCAGTCAAGAAGTGTCTCTCTCTCTCTCTCACACACACAACTAACTGGTTCTCAGCCCTAGCAAGGTTAAACCTATGCTTCAGGGAAGGGAGCAACCGACCTGTCCCAGAATCAACCCCTTCCCCTCCCTCGAGGAAAAGCCACCTTAAAAAGACGAATGGATGCTTCTGCTAACCGAACCGAACCGCCCTGGAGTGTTTCAAAGTTTAGGAAGACAGGCGCCGAGCACGAACGCGAACTGAACTGAACTGCAGAGCTGGCGCGGGAGGGCGCGCGCTCAATCAGCGGGAAGAACTTGGGCCGCCCAAGCAGGTAAATGCGGGCGTTGTTTGCCTGCTGGAGGGGGCGGGGTTAGGAGCGAGCTGTCCAGCAGGCGCCGCTGCACTTGAGGCTCACAAACAGCGGGCACTTCTCCCCTTCTTGGCCAGCAATTTACCTTCGCGGACAGAAGGTGGGGCGGGGAATGCGGGCTGAGACCTGCGTGCAGGCATCTGGCTGGTCGACTGTCCTCCCTTCAGGCTGTGCGCCTTCTTTCGACCCTCCCTCGGTCCCTTCAGCAACCTCGCTGCTGGGTAGTTCCCTCTCCACCTGGCCAGGTGAGCGCTGCCACTTTCTTCGGCGAAATCTTGCCGTTCTTCGGCCGGGATCCTCTGAGCAAGGGACGGTGGTGGTGCAAGGGGAGCACCGAGGCGCCCACTTAGTCAGCACCACAGGTCCGGAAGGGAACGGCAACTCCCCTCTCTCAACCACCCCACCGCCTCCTCTTTTTGCGCGCCAAACGCAGTAGCCCTCGGAAGAACTTCGCGCGCCTCACTCTGGCCAGTGGCACACAGG